GAACGATACAAGATATCGATTGAAATAAAGTAAACCATTTTGTGAAATTTGCCACCTGTGTCAAAAATGCCTCCAATCGTCCTATCCTGTATAAAACATATTCACTGGAAAGCAGTTCACTTATGAAAAGGAGGATTAGTATGAGTTTATTCACCTTTTTTTATGTTCTGGTTCCCACGAAAAGGGATATCCTCATCCTGTAATGTTCAGAGAACATCGTAAGAACCAAGGGAAATAAGGTAGGAATTGGCGTTCTTCTAAAATTTCTGGAGCTTATATGCCTCGAGGAACACCTCCCTTGGCAATGTGTTCCAGAGCCTCGCTGTTCGTTGGATGAACGAGTCTTTGGAAAGAGATGTTCTGCAGGTCTTCAAAGTGACCACGAAGGGGTGCGAAGCCTGAACTCAACGGGTTAATCTCGCGGGGACTGCCAAGGGAGGAACAATAATTGTTGATATTTCAGAAGAGCATCGTCCATGAAAATATCTATAAAATTGAGCCATATCGCCAACTTTTCTACGGTGTTCCAGAGAAGTGAGTGAGTTTGTGAGCGCGGTATCACCCACGAGACGAATTGCCCTCTTTTGGACAGAATCCAACAGTTTCAGGGTATGGGTTTGGGTGCTGCACTCCAAATATGGGGACAGTATTCCAGGACAGGTCGGATCTGTGCCTTATAGATTATAACCAGCTGACTGGAAGTGAAATTGCTCCTGGCCCTAAATAGAAAACCAAGTTTTGTGTTGTGTTGGTCCTAGAATTGATCCTTACGGAATACCAGCATTTATGCCCGAATATCGTTGATACCATGGCAACTCTTCGAAAGTTATACATGAAATTCATTTTTTTTATCCTAAAGTTGCTCGATAGACATTTCTTTTATATGAAGTACTAACGTTAATTCAGCTCACCTAATCAGCCCTATCATTTATGAAATGACCTTTCCGGACACCCTGTATATACTCTATGCACAAATCAAATGCAGATGGCATTTGCATTGTCATTCCTCGGTAATAAATTCAAATAGTAAATCAGTTCAACCAACAACAACGATAAAATCAATCAGTGTTCTGAAGTTTTGATGGGTTAATGTGGGAGAATTAAATTCAGTTGGGTGGGTTCTTGGTGTGTGGTCGTATACCCAAGAAATTGTTCCGATTTTCGCATGCACATAACATACATACACGCGAGCGATTTCACAACAATTTGTATAATCTGATTACTATTTTCTTAGCTATTTTCATAGTTAATAGTTCATAGTTAATTAATTCTTCGAACAGCCTCAACAAAATGTTGCTACTTCGAAACGAACAACTATGAATATAACGACCAAACTACCTATCAACTAGGAAAAAGACAAAAACTCAAAGTGGAATGCAATGGTCACAAAAGAGGTAAACTCAAAGTCATTACCATGACAGTTCATAAAATAAACGAAAATGGTAGATAACGAGGGAAAAACAACTACTTTCCTGGGTATATGCCACTCAGGACATTGGATTACATCCTTCCAAAATCTATGCAATAATTCGTATAGCCGAATCAGATCGCAAGTGTTTCGTTCCTAAACGAGCTGCGCTTTAGTGGTTCAGGAACGCATGACTCCCTGCAGACCGGTTTCGAGCTGTTGGCTCTCATCAGTGAGTAAAAAAAAACACTTTAAGCACGTATCACAGAACAACCTCATTCAACTCATGATGTAAGTGAGAAACTTCAAAACAAGATCCCATTCCAGGTGAATGTCTTTGAGTTCCTCTCTCTTTGTGATTATCAAGTATAAAGTATATTTACTCATTTCATGTCACTTCATTGATAACGTAAGGCCTGGTTCAGTAGAAACTGCTCTAGAGCTGTCGCTTCCAAACATGCAGCATTCCATCGATGGCAGAAAAATCTAATGCCAAAATAAGATCAAAACTTGTTGGAGTCCTAATGGATCCCGTTCATTTTGGTCCTTCGCCGAAGATGTAGGAAGAAACTTCACTTCCAGCTCGTTTCCTTCTCTAACCAAGGATGATGGGACACTAGCCACAACTGCCCAGAAGAAAGCCAACATTTTTGCGCATTTATTTGCTGTAAATTCCACTCTGGATTCATCAGGAAAACAACCTCCAAACATAACGCCAATTGACAGTCATATGTCCGAGATCACCTTTGGCCAACGTACTATAAGGAAGATTTTATTAGGTCTCAACACCAACAAAGCTTATGGCTCCGACGGAATCCCACCGATTGTTCTCAAGAAATGTGCTCCTGAACTAACACTTGTTCTCTGCAAGTTGTTCAACTACTCTTACATATTGGGGATATTCCCTTCCAACTGGAAAATTGCAAGAGTACAACCAGTTCCTAAAAAAGGCAAAAAGACCCTACCTAGCAACTACAGACCGATCGCACTGCTATCTATTATTTCAAAGATCATGGAGAAAGCCATCAACATCGAGCTCATGAAATACCTGGAACATTCTGGTATTACCAACGATAGGCAATATGGCTTCCGTCATCAGAGGTCAACTGGTGACCTGCTCGCTTACGTCTCACATATATGGCAGCAATCTATTGAAAGATATGGTGAAACCTTAGTCGTGGCACTTGATATCTCCAGTGCATTCGATCGAGTCTGGCACCACGGACTCCTCGCCAAGCTTCCATCTTATGTCTTGCCTCCCCAGCTATGTTCTCTGCTAGCTACTTTTCTCTCAAACAGGTCTCTTCATGTGGTGGTCGACGGAGTTCCATCTGACTCTCTCATCATAAATGCTGGTGTTCCGCAAGGATCAATTCTAGTACCAACACTATTTCTACTCCATATCAACGATTTGTTGGAAGCATCCTCATGTCCAGTACACAGCTTCGCGGATGATAGTACCCTCCATACCGCCTTCTCTTCCATGGCTCCAATTCCAGCCTGGCAAATCAGAAACGAACAAGGAAGGAATGTTGACAACATAAATATGGACTTGGCAACGATTCTCGAATGGGGATCTAATAACTTTGTAGATTTCAATGCAAACAAAACACAAACATGCCTTTTCTCTAGAAAAGTCGATCTCACTGTGCCCAACATAAGCTTGTCACTTGTCAGGAGTAACCATATCCGAAAGTATGGTTACATCCATTTCGATGCTTGGTATCACTATCAGTAATAACATTTCTTGGGAAAATCACGTGAGATCAACTGCTAAAAATGCATCCCAAAAACTTTGTTTTCTTTTTCGGGCCTGGAACTATTTCACTTTCAGTCAGCTGCTTATGATCTATAAGGCACAGATCCGACCTGTCCTGGAATACTGTTTCCATATTTGGAGTGCAGCATCCAAACATACCCTGAAACTAGGAACAATACGTGGATTATTTATTTCTTTCCAGACTCCACTGTGTTTGGCTTGATAATCAAATGTTGGTTAACAATATCGTTGTTTGAAACAAAAAAACTATTGCTGGCCGTGATTTTTGAGAAAAAAGTTATCCATTCCGAGAATATCGAATGAAATACATATCATACAAGTATGTGAATCTTGAAGGCTTCCCTGATCAAAGCAAAAATACTCGACTAAGTATACCCTTGATTATATACATTAGTGTGAATACTCAAAGACTATACTAAGGTATGAATTTATATCTCCAGCATGGGCATGAAATGCCAAATCTGTCGAAATCGGAAACAAATCTGGTACGCGTCCCAACCCAAATAACCAACTATAACAATGTTCTTTATTATTGATGACCTCTAGTACATCCTTTTTAGTTCCTAGGAGCTGAAGTTCAGCTTCAGCTCCTAGGAACTAAAGGTCCACTTTAGCTCCTAGGAACTAAATGTGTTGCCTAGCAACATACATATTTTTGTGTCAGTAATAGAAACCTCAATTCAAAAGCTGATTTTGGTACCAAAATGGACGACTTTTGTGTCGGTTGCAGAAAATAGTTATTTATTATACAAGGGAAAAAAGTAGTAGATTTTAGTTTCTGGTTGTGTTGTGAGACGAAAAACCGTGAGCTCAAATCTAATATTTTTCCCGTGTATGATACACTATTTTTTTCTGTGACAGAAGAATGGACGAATCAATATTGAAAAGATATCACATCATTTTGAAATCAGAAAATTATCGACGTGAAATTTTAAGTCTTTAACAGTATAGGGACACCTGCGTTGTAGGCATCTTTATCATTCTTTTGAAGTAATCAAATATCTGATGTCACTTCTGTCAGTCTAATCCTGTGATTTGATTTAGAAAAATTGCGAATTTAGTGGTTGTTTAGTAATATACGTAACCGCGAAGTCGAATGGAAGATAAAAGGACTTGCAGTTCTTTCTCGGAGACGGTATTATTGACTCATTTTTCGGAACTATAGCACAACAAAAGCCATCAACAGTGTATATATTTGTGATATATATCCGGGAAATAATTACTCACTTTTTCCCCACGGATAAAAAGTAATTTATGAAAAGTGACATTTTATAACCTGCCAACCCAACAGAGATGAAATGCCAAACTTTTTTCCCGGCACAAAAAAAATAGATACTGTCTACACGACCGCCGCGGCGGTTGGATGCTGATTCATAAACGACCGCCGCGGCTGTTGGATACTGATACATAAACAACCGCCGCGATGATATTTCTTCCTTCTTCATAGAGACTACTTCCGAGCAAAGCGATAGCTCAGTTGAAAATTCACCACGCCTGTGGCTCGGGTTCAATCCCTACTAGGCCTTATTTTTTCAAAACTTTTTTTCACAAATAATTTCTCGAAAAATATACTTCTCAGGAGAAAGGTTTATTTAGGTGAGTTAGGTCAGTTTGTTTGAAAAAAGTAGTCTTCTTTTTGATGCAGAAACGATATTTTCCTTCCTCATGTCTCACGGCGGTCTTCTATATAAAAATAGGTAACCGCCGGCGGTTGTTTATGTTTCAGTATCCAACCGCCGCGGCGGTCGTGTAGACAGTGCCAAAAAAATATTATTATCAATATTGTTTTCAATATTATTATTTAATTTCCAGCCGAAAGCGACATCTGCACGTTCGCCGCCCGTACTCGCCACTACACCGCCCCGCAGCCGCCCACTGCCTCCGCCCTCTTCGCTCCCGACACCCGCCCCGCCGCCTTAGCCACCCTTTACGCTGCCGCCGCCGCGACGCCCGTGCCCGCGATGCGTCAGCTGGACCGGTGGCGTCGCGACGGCCGACGCTCCTCCGGGTTCTTCTTGTGCACGCCGGTGTTGGGAGGCGGGAGGAAGAGGAGGGCGGGGGGCAAGGTGGGGGTGGATATCGACATCGAGACCGGAGTGGTGAGTTTTTTTACTTTTTTCGTTATTTTTTCACCTTCCTATGGGCGCGCTGTCGTGAAATTTATGACAACTCCAATTCTATCTGTATCTGTCGCGAGCATCGATTGCTCAAGAATCGAGGTTATCTATAATAATAATAATAATAATGTGTCTTTATTTTTCATCAATAAACAAAATTCGTAGAGTATTATGAAGAGGAGGCGGCATTCAACATGGTTGCTCTTCCAATCAACCCCCACTCTCACTATTGCTTTAACTCTTTCAGGTACAGGAATTCCGAAATATAACAGCTCCTAGATGTACAGCTTTATTTTTCTTCAGATTTTCAAGAGATTCATCAACAAACTAACTCCAAATGTCTCAAATGATACGAACAAACATACAGTCTGTCCAAGATAAGGTTGAACAGCATGGGGATCTCGAAAACGGTAGGAGATACGAAGTCGGTTAAATGGGGAAAAAGTTGCGCATTCGAAGGCTCATATCAAGAGCCTTCGAAAATTTTCAAAATTATTCCTAGTTTTTTAGTTATATCGAGAAAAGTGAATTTTTGGAATATCTATTTAATTTTTTTTTCTCCGTTATTATTAGAGATACAGAAAAACTGAAGATACTTTTGCATAGCAACTTTTGATGACGTTTAACGTGGTTTTACCGATTTTTTTTATGCGACGTTTCGTATCCGTAGAACCATCATCAGCTTTTGTTTTTTAAATACGGTCCTGATAATTTTTTCACAGATTCTGAAAGGTTTTTACATTTTGAATTCAACCATGCATTATACAAGGTGATTCGAATGTGTTTCGACCTATTTCCATCCATCATCAATGTTTTTTCGAACTTCCAAAGGAAAAGTGCCATCAGTTCCATTTATTCATGATCATTTAGTGTCAAACATTGATGGTTCAGTTATTCGATACTGAAAAGTGAATAAAAAATATTTCACTACATCATTCAATGCAGCGCTTAAAATTGTTGATGAATTCTTACACGAATTACTTTAACAACTCAACTTTGACAATACCTACAGAAACATTCATAAGAAATGTTCAAAATAATAACCATCATTTTCTGAACAAAGATATCCCCTTCTCACAGTTGCTTCTAAGACAATACTAAGCATTTCTGGTGTTATTCTATTGAATGCTTCGATGACACTGTCCCTCAGTTCTTCTTTATAATCAAAGCTATCTGCGTGTACAAAGTTTTTGATAAATCCCTTTAAAAAAAATCCAGTTGTGTCGAATCAGGTGACCGCGCCGGCCAAGGGACTGCAGAATGAGTACCAATCCATTTTTCTGGATAAAAACGCACAAACTTCTCTGGAATTATGTACCGGAGCGCCATCTTGTTGAAACCAACAGTTCTGAACTTCCACAATCGGTAAATCATCCAGAGCTTCCTAAAGATAATTTTCAAGCAAATTTTCATAACGTTAGGAAGTCTGTTTCATGGTGAATTAAAGGACCATGATTATTGATCATGCTTTCGTCTAGATGATTGTTCGCGGGAAATTTGCAAAATTTTGACATTTCCTGGTATATCACTCACAGAATGTCCTGCGCATTTCGTCATCGCCTGGTTTTAGCGTTTGACATATTTTGAATTTGTATGGATGGAATTTTTGTTTCCGCAAAATGAAATAGGTTCTTGATTGAAACCAGTTGATGAGGTATTAGTGTGTTGACTGATTTTCCTTCAAAATAAGTGGAACTGATGGCATTTTTCCTTTGGAATTTCGAAAAAACATTGATGATGGTTGAAAATAGGTCGAAACACACATGAACCACCTTGTATAATACATGGTTGAATTCAGAATAAAAAAACCTTTCAGAATCTGTGAAAAAATTATCAGGACCGTATTTAAAAAACAAAAGTTGATGATGGTTCTACGAATACGAAACGTCGCATAAAAAAATTCGTATCACCACGTTAAACGTCATCAAAAGTTGCTATGAAAAAGTATTCTCAGTTTTTCTGTATCCCTAATAATAACGGAGAAAAAAAATAAAATAGATATTCCAAAAATTCACTGTTTTCGATATAACTAAAAAACTAAAAATAATTTTGAAAATTTTCGAAGGCTCTTGATATGAGCCTCCGAATGCGCAACTTTTTCCCCATTTAACCGACTTCGTATCTCCTACCGTTTTCGATATCCCCATGCTGTTCAACCTTATCTTGGACAGACTGTATATTAAATTCAGAATTTTCCAATTTTCACAAAAAAAACGTGGGTCAAAATCTAACCCACCATTCCATAAGGTGAAAGATTTAATGAGGATCGACTCATTTCAAATCACCGTGAAACGTCTGCAAACATATATTGTTCTTTGCAAGACAGAGTGAAACACACAACCAGTTTGTTCAAACTTCAAACTCTCCTGAATTGCAAAAAGCATTATCTCCTTCGACTTATTCGGATTGGTTGATGAGCACCCTGTGTGACTCTCATTACCGGGCTTTGACTGAGTGTTTTGCTCTATTTGAATCGTCCATTCGGTTGATGTTCTCGATGAAGATGGTGATATTTATTGATGACTAAATGATCAAATCTTTCATTGATAACTTGGGAAGATATAAAGTATTTTGTGAAGAATAAATGAGTTGACAACTGCGGCATCCAAGAAAATGATTACATGAATATGTGTTCCTTTATATGTCTTTCCAGTCGTCTGATGATTCTGCTTAGCATATAAATTGATCTGGAATACTATGTGATTCAATAATTTGTCGGTGATAAACTGACGATAGAGATTATCTATCTCCAGAGGTTCTATTGAAATCTTTTGGCTGAACGATCTCATCCATTCCACACAATTTACTGATGATTTACTGATGATTACCAAGTAGTGATGGTGTCTCGATATTCATATCCGACAGTATACTGTTGTTAAGATTGAATTCGACATCATTTTCCTTGAAAAATGTCTTGGTCATGTTGTATGGTGGGACAAATTTCAAACAGCGTCGACTTTCACATATTATGAACGAAAAATAAACATATAAGTTGGAAAAATATAACAAGTAGCTTACCTATGTTGCCTAGATGGTATCATATGCAACGAAAAATGTAATCACATGATAAGCATGAAATTTGCAGCCGCAATTCGAGAGGAGAAACACAACGTACGGAACAAGTTTCCAGTTTATTCTATTTACTAATAATGTATCGTTTAATTCGTTTCAGCTTAGAACATATGTTTCCAAAGACCAATATGAGTATAAGTTATATGGGGCGGGAGAGAAAAAAAAAACCGTCGTACCACAAGTCATAAGCCCATTGCAGAGCGGGATATATTTTGTCCCAGCATACCTCTGATTCCTAGAAATTCGTGGTTCAAATTCTGCACCAAAGTACTTGAAAGAGTTGAAAAAGTTCTATTCTCAAATTTTGGTGTCTGAAGATCAATTTTCATGCATCGGAGATGTTTTCATGAAAACAAAGAATTTTCTTAGATTTTCTCATCTCATGGAGAGCACGAAGATATATATCGATACCTATGTGCGTTTTTACCATTGAGTTTGTTATGAGAATTTTTCCCTAGACACCGACATCAGTTATCTTCTATCTAGATATAAGTCCCACCCTGTCTACATTCGTTTTGACGCATTTTCCGTGTTTTTTCCTGAATTTAAACGCATCAGAAGTTATATAATATATAAATGAATATTTTCTATTGAACATTGCCAGGATAAAACAATGCCATTCATAGAACGTCTTTAGGATATTCTCAGAATATTCTCACAATACAATACAAAAATATTCTAGGGAGGTTCTTTGAACATTCGGAATGGACTGTTTTGACTATTCTGAGAATATTTCTAGGATATTGAAGGAGAAGGAAATCAAAAAGAAACTTGCTCTGTGGAGATGCAAACCTACTATCTTGTGATTGAATTTTCACGAACCTTATACCTTACCACTTCGCCACGAACCTTATTGATGAATAAAATGAATAGCAAGATGACAACACTGGATTAGTGGGATAATCAGCATTGAGGCTAGATAATAATATAGTTTTTGTCAGGGTAAACATTATAAAATATTGATGCTACAATAGGAACATCAATATCATTTATTTTGATAGGATTTTTGAATATTCTCAGAATAGCTATTCAAGAATGATATTTTAAGAACATGTCAGTTCGAATGTTCCTAGAATATTCTTTGCAGAATGAGAATGTTCTATGATCATTCTGAGATCATTCTATAAGAATATTGGAAAATAAGTATATTCGAACGTTGTCAGAATATTCATAGAATATTCTGTGCTGATTGGACTGGAATGCGTTGTGTAATTCCGATGCACATATTCAACCAGGGTTGGAATAAGAAAAATAATAAATACATATGCAAATTTAATTACTTATTCAGTACCATATATTGATTGAAGTCGCTTCAAAGTCGCAATTTTTTAAAAAATAGCAGCAAATTGGACATCTGTCACAATTTCACGTTGTTGGTATAATTCTGGTGAAGAAATCTATGCATCAAAAGATGCAAATTGATCGTGGTTTCTTTAACCCAACTCAAAAGTCAATAAGAAGTAAAACACAGATTGTTGGCAAAAAGACATTGCAAACTGGTGATTCTGATTCAGTGTTAAATAACCTGCATATTATTTATTTCTAGAGATATGAATTGCATCAATCAATTGAATCCAATGAAAAATAATTGGAAACTCTACAGCAGCTCGTAGAAAAGTTAGTTTTTACACCGGCGGGAGTAGAAGTTAGTTTCTCTGGTAACAAGAGAGGAGCAGAAGTCTCGTTTTATTCCCTAGGGAGATAATGTGACATATTTTCTCCATAATAAGTTGATACCAACTTCACATTTTCCGCATAGCTCTGCGCTTCCTTTTCGGAACACCCTTCTCTGAAGCGAGTATAAGCTGCATCATACAGATTTCTAGATTTCACTGGTAGCAAGTTAACAATCACTGCAGAAGCAGTATCAATAGTTTCTTGGGGTTTTCCCTCGATTTCTTGTTCCATAA